TGAACCCCTCCAGGGATGGTGCCTCCATCACCTCCCTGGGCAGCCCATTCCAGTGCCTGATCACCCTTTTAGGGAAGAAATTCTTCATGATGTCCAACCTGAACCTCCCCTGCTGCAGCTTGAGGCTGTTTCGTCTTGTCCTGTCCCTTGTTCCCTGGGAGCAGAGCCTGATCCCCACCTGGCTGAGCCTCCTGTCAAGGAGTTGTGGAGAGGGAGAAGGTTCCCCCTTACCCTCCTTTTCTCCAGGCTGAGCCCTCCCAGCTCCCTCAGCCACTCCTCGTGCTCCAGACCCCTCTCTCCACCTGCATTGCCCTTCTCTAGACATGGTCCAGTCCCTCAATGTCTTTCTTGGAGTGAAGGGCACAGAACTGGACACAGTACTTGGCAACGATGGCTCCCAACTGGTTTAATCTACTGCCATAGCATGAACTTATCTTTATCATGGAATCTCATAATAGTTTGGGTTGGAAGGGACCTTAAAGCTCAACTCATTCCAACCCCCTGCCATGGGAAGGGACACCTTCCACTAGACCAGGTTGCTCCAAGCCCCAGTGATGATGGTTCATTTGGGCTTAGCTGATCTGGTGGCCACAGCCAGTTAGACTGGCAAATTGAGCCAGACCTACCAATGCCTTAAAGGACAGAAATAGAGATGTTACAGCATGGGGACTGTGGAGAAAAGCTAACATCAGCACTCAGAACAGTCCCTGCGTGTCTCACATATATATTTCTGTGTTTTCCCACAGAAACTTGGATTTCCAAACAGCATCTTGCCTTCACCCTGAGGTACAGCTGAGATAGGAAATTTTGAGCCCATAGAGCTCTGAGAAAATAGCAGCACACCAAAGGAGGGAGAGTTTAAAATTGTTCCTGTTTGCAGTTTTTCCTGATAACATCATTTTGGATGACAGCCTGGCATTAGGAAGGTCATAAACATTGTGATTTATACACAACCCCTGCAGCTCTCTGCTTTTCTTGCTCCTTGGTGGTAACTTCAGCCATGTGTGTTCTCTCTGTGATTGCACAAACCAGAAGCTTTAAGGTCTGCTGCTGTTTTTTTGTCTTCCAGCCTCCAGAGGAGTACCACCTCATCTGGATCACGTCTGATCTCATTTCATTTATCATAATTGTAGGAGTTTTTATATTCCAGAAGTAAGTGCCATTGTTACAGCTCAACTCTGGTGTATTTGTGCCGTGTGCTTTTGTCCAGAGCGTGCAGTGGGGATGGGAGAGAGGAGCACTGTGCTCAGTGCTTGGATTGCATAGCAGGAGAAATGGTTATTTAAAAATCTCTGCGAAGACTGCAAACAATAATTCCACTTCTGGAAAGTGAATTGAATGCAGTCACTACCTTTTAAGAAGAATGAAAGACCTCAGCAGTGATGGATTCCTTGCTTTGCTCTTAAACCCATGTGGGAGAGAAACTGTAAGTGCTTTAGGGAAATGGATGCTGAGAAAGGCATTAAAGTGCTCCAAAGGAAGAAGTGGGGAAGGTTTTGAGATTCCACCATTGTAGTCTTCAAAAAGAACATGTTATAGTTTTCTTAAATTGGTTTGTTCCTTTTTGGATGAAGAAGAAATAGAAATGTTATATGATCACAGAATGGTTTGGATTGGAAGGGATCTTAAAGATCATCTAGTTCCAACCCCGCTGGAACTAAGGATCTACATTTTCCTTCCTTCTTGGTACCCAAAATGCCTTTTCCTTAGGAGCAGCAATTTTATTTGCCTCAGCCCCATGAGCCAGGGATTTTGCTGTCACCTTGTCCCAGATCATCAGCTCACAGCAATCGCTCTCCTTCTCCTGGGTCCATAATTACCCAGGAATTTTTGCTGTGTTACAGTAGGATATTGCTCCTACCAGCACTTGCTGTGGAGTTGACTTCAGGCCACACATTGGGTCTACTTATAATCACATCTAAATTCATGACTTGCACTGTGCCCAGACCTGTAACCCTTAGTTCCAGCATGGGATAACAGAGGGAGCAGCATATTCAAAACTCTCTTCTGGGATTGAATTTCCTGACAGTTAATGAAAACATTGACCAAGATGAGGTTAAAAGTTTTCTAAGAAGTCCTGTGATCCAAATTGTGGCCAGTTAAGCCTTTTCTCCAGAAGGACAGTGGGGCTGTGCTGTCTGGAAGTGTCCACTCCCTCAAATTCATCAGGTGACTTCACAAGAGATGTCTCCCATCTTTAGACAGGAGACAGGGACTTACCTCTCTGAAGAGCAGAAATTGAAGGCTAAGTTGATGAGGTATCTGTGGTCTTTTGCATCATCTCCCGAAGTCAGTTTTAGAAGGTTTTCCTGAATCTGAACTGGGACACCAGAGGGGAAGAAATTAAACTGATTCAACCTGCTGGATCGAAATTATATATCCCAGAGCAGAGTGAAATGATGTGTGCTTGGAGAGACAGAGAAGTCACAGCTACTTGCACTTTGCAATAGCTGGACTCTTCCTCTCTGCACAGATGGAAGTTTTTCCAGTTTGGAAAAGATGTGATGGGGTTGGGCAAGAGGAACGAAGGTAAGGAAGGAAAATATTGCAGAATTTCTCTTCCAGCCTCAATGTGATACAGGTGAGAAGAGCTGGAAATGCTACCAGCTTTTCCAGGATCCATGGAGCACTGAGCTCCCTGCTCAACCCCTGGACCTGACATAGAAAGGCAGTTAGTTGCTCAGAGAGGTCTGGCCATGTAGGGTCCATGGTAGCAGGGCCAAATGTCTTCTTTTGGATCTCTCTCTTGGGACAACTCAACCCCAAATCAGTAGATGCAAGGGGAAACTCTGCTACGAGAAGTTGGACTTTCTGCAGCAAAGGACTTGCTTTTCCAAGAGCCTTGTGCAGGACAGACCCATTTCCCTGATGTTCCAGTTTCTCCACCACATGAAAGAATTGGTAGCAGGGTTGAGGATATATCAAAACCAAATCAGCAGAATTGCCCAACTACTACCTGCTGATGTGATTCAACTCTGGGAAATGGGGCTTAACATTTGGCCTTCAGTGTCATTGTTGGCTTCTTGTGGGGTTCTTTCTGTCTGTGTGTTTTTCCAAGTGACTTTTGGGGCAAAACAGAACGGCTTTCTTCATGCAAGGATGAGGGGGTGGGTGGGAAGAGAGCCACCCCTTTGATGTGCTTGTCCTATCTCCTCTGCATGGCTTCTCTCTCCTCTGTGGCCACAGGTAGGGATTGCTCCTGCTGTTCTGCTTCAGGCCCAGTGACAGGATTGTGGCAGCCTCTCCAGAGGGGAAAACCAACTGTGATGACTTCTAACTGATCTTTTTTGCCTCTTTGCCTTGTTTATTTTCTTACTGCTCTGACTGTTGTGCATGTTCCTCCTCTTTCTCTCTGCTGCATTCTGGCATCTCACAGCTATCACATGATCAGGTAATTCTGGTGCTTTCCTCTTCCTTCTCTTTTTCATTCAACCTTCCTTTCTCTCTTTCTTTTCCCCTCTCTGCTATGGCTTCACTGCAGATGGACAGGGCAGGATGCAGCTTTTCCCAGTGCTTCGTGGGGGGACCATAAGGGTTTTGAACATTGCATAGTCCATAGCCATGAGCACCACAGAAGTCTGTTGCTGAAGACAGTGGATGTTTTGAAGGCAATCTGTCCTTCTGCTACAATGATCTAAGTCATTGCCTTTTAGAACAGCCCTACTCTGAGGTCCTGTGGCACACTGTCATTGGGAAATTCCCATTGGATGTAATGCTTTCTCCGTTGAAATAATCCCATGCAAAATATCCCCCTCCTTCCTGTATTTACCAGAGGTTTTTGAGATAAACCTCTTCTAAATTGGCTAAATCATGAAACCTGTTGTAATATAAATATAATTAAATATAAAGAGCACTTCTCTGGCCCTGTGAGTGAGTTAATAGGGCTGAGAGCTGGAAAGGTTTGGCTCATCAGTTGCTGCACTCACAGCTCAGGATCTTTCAGGAGTCTCTTCCCAGCTACACTGGAAGTACAGTGTGAAAAGAAAGAGCATTGCACTTGGGAAGGACATGAGCCTGGGGTATGCTGGATTTGAAGTGCAATTGGAAACCCAGACTTCTCCTTGTATTGGGTGTTTTCCCACCAGTCATTCCCAACCCCTTGGAAGTGCTGTTGCTTTTCTGCAGTAAAGCCTTCACCATGTCCCTATTTGGACCAAACTCTGTTCCCTTCTCCATTCCTTCTGCTGTGTGCCATGGGGTTGTATTTCTGAGGACTTGGTTACTCCCTGTGTGTGCTTCTCAGCCCCATTCCCTCTGCCCACCCACTGTCTCAGGGGTTGGGGTTGGCCACCCACAAGTATTGCTGCTCCATGAGGTACCTCAGACTCGCTGTGTTACATCTCCTCAAGACAGGACCTGGCTGTGGGGCCAGACTGAGCCCTTCTGTGGCTGCAGGGAGCTTGGGTGCTTTCCTCTTCTTGTCTCTCCCTTGCTCCCTGGCTCATGGATAAGGAGGAGGCAGGCTTTAGGCAAGAGTGGTTGCAGGATAGGACTCTGTGGCTGGCTTGGCTCTGTGCTCGCTCCATCTTATCACCTCAGTACCAATCAACCCCATTTTCTCCATGACCTGCCCTTCTCCTACCCTCCTTCCCTGCCACTTAGCATCTCCCCTCCAAGCCAAGGGTCCTGCTGTGGCCCTAACACAGTGTGTGCTGTCTCTGTGTTGTTGTCCCAGTATTTTGTAGTCCCACCCCGTGTCCGTCTGGTCTGCTCTGACGCCAACCTCCCAGAACAAGACCTACCTGCTGTCTCTCTGGCCTTTTTGCACGCTGCTGTCCCAAACGTGGTCGATCACAACAGAGTCCAAGGGGGTAGGAGAGGTGCTATTTTCTATTAAACCAAGCTTTTTGGAGATCCAAAAGCTACTGAGCACAGCAGAGTGTGTCTCATGTGGTGTTGATTGGAGTTGCATCATGGTTAAATGTACTGGTGGCTCTTCTAAGAGGATATTTCAAAGCACCCCTGAAACATGGGGTTACCCTCACCTGGCTTGTTCAGTCAGAGCAATGCACCCCTGTGAGGGGAGTCATTATCTCCTCATGTATTTATTGCCCTAGGGGTGACCACAGCCACCATGGGAGATAGAGAGCAGTGCTTGTTCCTCTTGGCAGGAGAAGAAAAGCCCTTGGTCCCTGTACATCTTTGAGGCTGTGCCACGAAATGATATGTGTCCTCCATGGGATGTCTAGGATCTATGGGCAAGAGGTCACCATGCCTTTTGCTGAAAATCCTAGTGTGGTGGGCAAAGAAAAGACTTGTAGCAATGTGTTTGGGTCCTGATTATAGTTTAAGGAGGGTCTTCTCCCGTAGGACCTTGCAACCACAGTGAGCTTAGTGGGATCTGCCTGTATGGGACACTAATACCAAAAATGCTGCTCTTCCTGGTCAGTGTGGCTCATTTTAGATGATGATGATAGAAGAAAAATCTATTTTATTTAAACTTCTTTTATACTTTAATGTCTTTACCTCCTTGTGTTTCCTCTGTGCTGCTTCTGTCCATGGGTTTGTGAGTTGTGTCGTGTTGACATCCCACCCCTTCTTTTCTGTGTAGCAGAACACTCCTTCATCCATACCCTGGTCAAAGCCTGATGGTCTGGTGTCACCCACTGGGATTTGGGAAGGGGTTGGAAACCCCACAAAGGTTAACACCAGCTAGATTTTCCTTGAAAAAAGATTTGCAGAACTTCTTTTGTGGATGTTGCTTCATCAGGCTGATGCTGTAGGCCCAGGCTGGGAATGTGTGGGGCTCCTCAAATCCTCTGCTCCTGGGGCTGGGCAAGGGGTTAGAAATTTAAAAGAAGTGATTGTCACCTATAAATAAATAAATGGATAAATAATCACCTTCTCCTGTGTGACTGAGCCACTAGATGGTGCCAAAAGATCAGAAACCCTATAAGCCACCCTAAATTCCTGC